GATCTTCGATATAGAGGCAAAATTTTCGCGTTACGTCTCCTTTCCAGTTTATGCCTTTCCTCTGAAGTCAGCAAACGGGGGATGCATCTTGCAGGCAGAGATCTAAAACATATTAATACGCTGTTGAAGAATGGCTTTGAGGAACCTGATAGACACCTCGGCTTCTGCTGCGTTGTTCCAGACCAGAACATTTGTCATTTTTTACAAAGAAGTGCTTATTTTTCACATTTTCTTGAGTCAATGCTGTTGATGGCTGGCCACTGCGGGGGTGACCATTAATGATCTGTTGACCAAAATTGAACAGAGATGCCCACTTTTTGACGCTATTGTAAGAATGGCAAACCTCAACATGTGTTGGCACTAGCTTTTCGTGAATAACGTTTGGTGCATTTTTCTGCAATACATGAACCAAATCACTGTTCTCTTCTGGGCATCGCCCATTTTGACCGGGAATGGCAAACTACAGGGTGTTTCACTAAAAGTGTCAAAAAGTAAATGCTTATTAAAGATATATAGAATATGCAAATCACGTGGCTGCGCACGTGGCTTTGTTGCCAATTTTTGGACATTTATTATTTATCCATTTAAGATATATTTTACACTCATACGGAGCGAGGGCAGGAGGCCAAAGTTACTAGTCATTTTTCCTTATGCAGAACAAGAACAGTTATTTACACCGCAACAGGAGGGGTGAATTACACTTATGTACATTTGGTGCCATCAGAAACATTGAAACCGTATGCCGACTTTTCAGGAAACTTTTTACTCTCTCACCTCGCTACGTTCCAGATTATAAAAGTTTCAAAGGGCTTGTTGAGAGGTTTAAAAGGGTTCCTTCGATGCCGGTTCCAGTCCAAAAAATGCGGGGTTGCCCCCACCTCTCGGCGGAAACCGTTGAGAAGGTCAGGGTCTTTTTGAGGGGCTTTGTAGATAACAAGAAGCTAATTCCAACATCAGAAATAGCCAGGGCCTTACAAGTTATTAAAATCAACCACTGTAACGGCTGTAGCCACCAGGAACTGACTGGACCAGAAGCTCCTGGGCCGAATAATCAGCTGCCTCGCCGCCCGCCCCTGGCCAGCGCGAAGCCCCGATCTGTCACCGCTAAGCCTCTGGTTTGGTCAGTGACTCAGTAGCTCTCGCAGAGCTGAGGAAGACTCAAGTCGCATCACTTCGGGAGCTGAAGAGCACAATTCAAGGCTTTGCCGACAGTCTGGACGCTGAAGATGAAAACGGGCTGTGAGGCACCTCCGGACACGTGCCGAAACGGTGCATCAAAAGAAGGGGCAGATGTGTGGAATAGGTTTGAGTGACGGTGATATCGTTTTTATATATTCAAATGTCCAACAATTGCGGATAAAATGATATGCAAGTTTCCTTAGAAAACATTGTTATTATGTGCATTATGACCTTTTACTTTTTGACACTTTTAGTGAAACACCCTGTATGTTACGATTAATTAGCAGCCTGTACCAATCACAGGGCAGATTGATTGATAGCTACGTAAGTGGACATCCCAATAACACATCATTGAACACACCGCGTTGCAGGCCGAAATTCCAACTCCTTCATGGTTGGGCCGGGGACTGTTTGAACGCCCCTCGTATGTCGTATTTTTTACATAAAATGTATTTTCTACCTTAAAGCACCCGAAAGATACCCGCGGTACGGGATAAAATCAGTAAACCGCTCGTAGGTAAGGCGAGACGTTTAAAGGGAGATTATGAGCTTTCTTTTTTCTTAAATAAAAATTACTCGACATCTATACTATTTCTACTGTAGTTTCTATAAAATATGAAAATTTCCTAGCACATTTTCGTATGTGAGAAAGGTTTTTATTTTTGCAAAAAAGAAGCAGTACTTGCAGTACTTGTAACACCCACCGAAATGCGTTGTCCTTCTCTATAAAAAAGTCGCAGTATATGGCGCTTTTGTTTCAAACAGCGACGCTTGGGTTTTTGTTTATGTTATCGCCTTGTCGTTGCTTGGTTGTAAGGATTCTAATTTGAATTAGAGTCAATTCGGTTTAGAACTAATTAGATTCTAATTCGGGGGTACATAGTGCCTACTCTTCTTTGTTTCCAAGTATTATTTTGCGCCACAAATGAACGGCATGCGCCAGAATCGCAGCCAAATCTTGCGATTGCGACTACGAAATTCATTATTTTGGCCTCAGAGCCTGAAGCGAAAAATACAAGCATATTTATTTCAAAAAGACTTCAGGTTTGTCGAACGGTGTTATGAGAATTTTGATAACAGTACTGCATAAGTTTTTCAGTGATGCCGCAAAAGTGTTGTATCTATCTTCTTTTATTGTGCAGTCGGCGGGACCGATTCAAAATTGAGTCGTTGCTACTAAAATAGCAGCATATGGCGACAGATGATGAACAGGAAAAATAGTTGCGTAAATTTAGACATAAACCACCCCCAAACCATGAATATCTTTTGAAGGCACTATAGACGACCATTAACTAACTAGATGTGATGAAGATCAAACGTAATGAATACGCTCATTTTACAAAATTACATGCAAGTACCAAAAAGTGATGTAAGTACTTATTCAACGGTCATTTTCAGCGCTCCCCGCTAACGTGACTTCAAGTTGAGATATTTGCGGCAAGGTACCGAATTGAGCAAAATGGTTTTAATTTACATTATAACTTGTTGTGTTTTGTCAGAAAATGGTCCTAACTCAGATTTTGTGGAAAAAGGTCATAATCTCCCTTTAAAAGATTTGTTCTACCTACTCGCGGTTTAATCTATATTAAAAATCCTAAAAAAGTACCCCGCCGCCGTGTGCGACGTAGTCACTTTGTAGCGCTTATTGCGGCGGCGTCCGTTGACCTGCGGCCGTGAAATTTTACAGCGATGTGGGCCACCTTTACACGTAGGTCGTATTAAATTTTGGGCATGATGCGGCCGGGGGTGCGCCCGCGGCGCGTGCTCGCGCGCCCATAGGGTTAACATTAGAATTGGCAAAAACACGCTATTGCTCGGGAACGGTAAGGGCTACGGGGGTAAAATTTTCACGGAAAGTCGGATGCGTGCACCCATTTGTCGTATCAACTTTTCGAGGGTGCGGGTTCAGCGGTGTGCACGTGGTGGGGCCGCGACCGGCGCCGAGCAGAGGGCACGTGCTTTAGGCTCAGTTGTTCGCTTAAAAAAACTGAGTGAAAAGCATTAGAGCCGGCAGGTCATTGACCTTTGACAACGAAGGCCGACACAAGGCACCGCTCGCCAAGGGGATTCGCCAGTAAATATTATTCATTTGTTTTTGCAATATCTCAGCCGTTTCTGGGCCGATTTAGCTGAAACTTGGACTGTCGGTGGTAGTGTAGTGTAGGGTAGGGTAGGGTAGGGTAGGGTAGGACTAGGGTAGTGTAGTGTAGTGTAGTGTAGTGTAGTGTAGTGTAGGAGTAGGGTAGTGTAGGAGAAGGGGTAGTGTAGGAGTAGGAGTAGTGTAGGAGTAGGGGTAGTGTAGGAGTAGGGGTAGTGTAGGAGTAGGGGTAGTGTAGGAGTAGGGGTAGTGTAGGAGTAGGGTAGAGTAGGAGTAGGGTAGAGTAGGAGTAGGGTAGAGTAGGAGTAGGGTAGAGTAGGGTAGGCGGGCGTGCGTGCGTTGCGGGCGTTTTTTGCGGCGGTATTTGCGTTTTTTGCGGTGTTTGTGTTTGGCGGCGGGCGGGCGGGCGTTGCGGGTGTTTTTGCGTTGTCTGCGTTTGGCGGCGGACGGCCGTTTTTTGTGGCGGTTTGCGGCGGGCGGCCGTTTTTTGCGGTTTGCGGCGGGCGGCCGTTTTTTTGCGGCGTTTTGCGGTAGCCGGCGGCCGGCCGTTATTTGCGGTGTTGCGGTTTGCGGCGGGCGGCCGTTTTTTGCGGCGTTTCGCAGTTGGCGGCGGGCGATGCGGGCTTTTTGCGGCGGCGGTGTTTGCGTTTTTTTGCGGTGTTTGCGTTTTGCGGCGGACGGGCGTTTTTTTTGCGGCTTTTTTGCGTTTTTATGCGGTTTTCGACGGGCGGGCGATTGTTTCTTTTTTGCGAAGTTTGCGTTGGCCTTTTGCGCGTTTTGCGGTGTTTGCGTTTTGCGGCGGGCGGGCGGCTTTTCACAATTCAAGTCCCAACCTTCGGATCCGCAGTGCTGTTCGACAAGCGCTGCCCGGGCCCGCCTTACAGTTTAATTAAAAACAGCTACCCAAATCTACCCAAATAATACAGATAAAAATACAAGTCAATCACCCAAACTAATGCACCCGTAACATAACATAAATCAAAACATACAGTTATCGCGTAAACCTGTACCTCTAGTATATAATAAATGATGCCCTCAATATTAGATGATAATGGTGATAGGTATATTAGATGAAATTAGATGACAATGGTGCTATACAAAACGGGGTTTTGGATAATTAATGTAACTGCATAACAGTGAAATGGAGAGCAAGACAAGGTCAAGATCAATCAGACTCCTCAAGACAAAGTCAAATTTGTTACTGATAAATGCTTTGGAAATTTTAAGTAAGGTAGTTAAAGTATGTTCTCCAGTATAAAATGAGTTAAACATTGATTTACATTTTACATGCTTATGTATGTCTTGCAAAGTAGCTTTCTTTGCAAGATAATTATCCTCATGGTTTTGGAATTTGCTAACACTGATGAGTTGCCATTTAACCTTGGCAGACTGATGTCTTTGATATCACAGTTACAGACTGATGTGTGCCCCATTTGTTATGACATCATCATGCATTGGGGAGAAATATGTCATGATTGCCATTTTTTCTTCATCGAATGTCATTTAGCAAATCAAGTTTGAGTTCAAAAGTTTATCAAAAAATATTTTCAAATCTATTATGGCAGCAGTTGATTTTCATAACACCGACAAAATACCAAATGCTTTCGGTACCTATATAATACCGAACACCGAACCGGTACTGGTTCGGTATCGTTATACCGAAATTTTGGTAACCGATTGACACCACTAATCGGCATATAAGCGCGTCCCGGCCGCCACTCACCCTCTGAACACATCGAGCGCGTGCAGCCGGGCGCGCCGCCGCTCGGCGCCGGCCGGTCCAGGCGCCTGCTCCTCGCTCACCATGGTGGTCGACTCCTCTGGGTCACCCAGGTCCTGCGGCGGTCAGCGGTCAGCGGCGGCGGTCAGCGGTCAGCGGCGGCGGTCAGCGGTACCTTCGGCCGGGTACGCCAGGGCTACTTTTATTAAAATTAGTCTGAGAGCGGCCGCGTTTGTTTTAATAGACGAGCCTGCGTTTCCATGTGTACGTACGTGTGCGACCCCTGTGTGTGCCGTGTCTAGTTTTCAGTGTGTGCGGTCAGCTCGGGGCGGCAGTGTGACATCTCTTACCCTGCGCAGCAGCGAGGACGCTCCCACCAGCCGCAGCACACGCTCCAACACGTAGTGTTCTCTCATCTTGTTAATGCTCTTGATAAGTAGAGTTATACCAATCAGCGTCAGCACCGCGAGTAAAAGCGCTGCAAAACAAACAAAACATACAACATATTATTAACCCGCGTCCCACTGGGGAGACTATTCATAGCCCCCCCCCCCCTCCCGTTTTTCTGCAATAACTTCTAAACTGCTTGACGTATCGCCGCCCAACTTTCAGTACCTTCCAGCTGCATCAATTGGACACTTTGCGTCAAAATTTGAACTTCGTATCTATCAAAGGTCGGCCGGTAATGACGTCCAAGTGACGTCATGTTCGGCCGATTCCGACGCAAAACATTGAACCACGGGAATCGCTCCCAAGAGCTTAGTTTCTGATCTAGATCCAATGTCTTTGCATGACAGGACTTTGAATAGACTGCGCTATCAAACTGCTATCTACGATTTTCAAAATTTCGAGAAAAAAAACTGAAAAGTATTTATATTAAAATTCAAAATTTGTCTTTTTATCATTTTTTCAAAAAGTTTTTGACTTTTCGAAAAAACGGATATATATGACAGAACATATTCTTATGACTTACTCTAGCAAGTTTAAGCCAGATATCTAAAAAAAAAAAAAAAAATGGCCAGGCTATACGCATTATAGCAAAAATTTCACAATTCTAAATTTTCCAAATCAGTTTTTCAGTACGAATTTGACATCGTACACCAATATACCTAAATAGCACCATCGTGTTCCTGAGCTCAAATTGCATCCGATGGACATGTTTGTTTGTTTAAAAATTTCAACTTTAAAATGTGACCTTTTTTACCTGACCTCAGCTATATTCAGATGAAAATGGCCCCCAATGACAAAGGCGATACCGAATTCGAAATCTATGGCCTAAATGGACCATAAAACATGTGTCACGTGACCGACTTATGATATAAGATTTCCGTGACCTGTAATGACCTGACCCTGACCTGAAAACCAAAGTACAAGTCTGGTACCCTCAGGGTATCTAAAGCATCTGTTCTCGAGTGTGTAAACCAAAAATCAGCCTGATCTGACTTGTAAGACGGCAGCCAGAGCCCAAAATGTGAACAGCCAACAACCTAACCGGTCTACAGGGCACGGTTCGTCGGAAGGTCATCTCAGGCTCAAAAGAAACGGTATATACCATTCGAAAGATGACGGTGAGCTGAATCCAAAAATGTATTATTTATCCAAATCGATCGATGGCCTTTTTTGAAAATTGCGTTTTTGTAAAAACTTTATAATTTTTTAATCAACGGGCTGTCCCGGGCATTCTTGAAAAAATAAACATGTTTTTTCGAGTTCCAGTGAAAGCTGAACGCCAAAAGAACAATATTTAGCGAAACAATATTTCCTAACATTAATATGCGTCTCCCGCAGCCGACAATAAGGCGCAATCACACAGCTCAATGTCACGATGGACCAAAGCCAGCCACACAGAAGCGTGAAATGACCCTTATCGACTCACAGCCCCGGCGCTCTCGGCCCGCCTAACCGGCCACGGAAAGAACGTTCGGCTCTCGTTCTGCTAAACAAATGTCATATTTGTCAATTTAACTGTCCACATCGCTATTAAAGTTATTCAGGATACTTGTGAAGAAAATTCATTGTTCTGCTTGATTTACAACATGCTTTAATTTACATTTTTATTATACATGTTTTGTTCCATCCAGCTGCGCTCAGTGCCCGCGCAGGGGAAAAGAGCGGGGTTTCACTGTCAGAGACAGAGGCTGTACTGGTGACAGCTGCTCGGCCGTGCGACCGGTCAAAGGTTACCCTGCCCCACCGGGCGCTACCCCCACTCCACCCGAGCTGAGGCCGGTGCAACCTCTGACATTTCAGCGCGGCCAATTTTCCTTATATGGGCATGATACCAAGCTCAATTGAGCAAAGTGGACATGAACAAATGTAAATTAATGCATGATGTGAAGATGACAGAGCAATGAATTTTCTTCACAGGTATCCTGGATAACTTTAATAGCGATGTGGACAGGACAGTTAAACCGACAAATATGACATTTGTTTAGTAGAACGAGAGCCGAACGTTGTTTCCGTGGCCGGTCAGGCGGGCCGAGAGCGCCGGGTCTGCGAGCCAATAAGGGTCATTTCACGCTTCTGTGTGGCTGACTTTTGTACATCGTGACACTGAGCTGGGTAATTGCGCCTTATCGTCGGCTGTGGGAGACGCATATTAATGTTTGGAAATTTTGCTCCGTTAGATATTGTTCTTTTGGCATTCAGGTTTCACTGGAACTCAAAAATACATGTTTATATTTTCAAAAATGTCTGGGACAGCCTGTTGAATAAAAAATTATTAAGGGTTTACAAAAACGAAATTTTCAAAAAAGGCCATCGATCGATTTTGATAAAAATTACATTTTCGGATTCAGCGCATCGTCAGCTTTCGAATGGTATAAATCGTTTCTTTTGAGCCTGAGATGACCTTCCGACGAACCGTGAGGGATGATTGCTGGGCGGTTCGTGGCCGAGCGGTGGTTTGTCGCAGCTGCCGGACAATGGTCACGTAACCACTTGACCTTGAGTTGGCACCTGATTTTGTCGACAGATATTGCGCTGTTAATACATGCATTGGCGCAGCTTATTTTAATGCAATATTTTAGGTTCTAAATATTGGGCATGTTATGCTAAATGATGGGTACCTAATACAGGAATAATCTTTAATATAGTTACATAGATAACATGAGCCTGGATTGGACACGAAATCTGATAAATGCAGAATGGGGCCGAAAATTTATCAGCAGGATAAGAAAACTGTCGGACGTGTTTTTGGATCGTCCCGTTATCTTTGCCCGTTTCGTGTAGTCAGTTTTGTGCATAAATAATGATATTGCCAGGCTCGTAATTCCACGTAGAATAATTTGGTGATATTTCGAACGTCTGAATATGTAAAGTAATTAAGATACAAGGCTGTGAAAAATCTAATAGTTTCAGTAAAGTCCATAAAATTTGAGTAGACGAGCCTGGCCCAAAGTGCTCGATTTTTCAGTGTTGATCGCGTTCATACAGTTTAGCACTCCCTTCACTCATTAAGCACCAGAGGAGTAGCTGATCCTACCACTTATGAAACGGCTAAAAACTACTATGCATAAATGGATAGCGATTCCGACTCATCCATTGAGGGCTTTGACCCCAGCAGCGGAAACTGGGTCACTGCAAACGGCAAGAAACCCTCCAACAGAATAATAGACACATCAGTAAGTCCTACCCATAACTCATGCCGCAAGCCAGTTCCTGTACCTGGGGCCAGTAAATCTGGCCAAGAAACTACAATATCGCAAAATTCCAGTAACCGACCTACATGCCCACTCTGTGGAAAAACCGGCACCAGGAAGCGGTACATGCAATGTGCAATCTGCAGTCGTCACTGGCACATGTCTTGTGTCCGTCTCGACACGGCGCAGGCGAACGCGCTCCACCGCTGGTGGTGCCCGGACTGCCTCAAGGACGGCTTCGAGACTCCATCCAGCCCGGAGCCAGACCCCAGTCAGCCGTCCACTCTGACAGCGCCGCAACAGCCGGAGCCTGACGTAGACCTTGGGCTCACCCTGGCCGGCCTCAGGCGCTCCCGTCCAGTAGTGCGGAGAATTCCCAAGGAAGCCCGGATCCCCGCAGCGGACGCGCTGGCGACTCTGATAGAGAAGGCCGTCATAAGCAGCGAGGTGGGGCCGTGGGGCAAACTTATGCGATTTCCAGTGCGAGAGAAGGGGCTAATAACAAGTCCAGTCTCACCGCGAAAATAAAGCGACAGGTAATCGCTTATATCGACGAACGGCATGAGCCACCGTTGCCGTTCGAAGTGAATAAACCGGAAAAAAATAAATCGACGAACGGACTGACCCATCCGAAACGGATTCCCATCACTACGACGAGACGTCTCTGAATGCGCCGAAAACTGTCGCCAAAGACCGAACAAAGAAGGACAGGTCGAGCGAAAAATGAAAGAACGCTGTGGAGTCAAAGCTGTCAGAAGGAGACGTGAAAGGAGCTATCCGGCTTCACTCCTCCGCTAATGCGGTTGCCCAAAACACAAGTAAGACCACCGACGCCCTGCGAGCGAAACATCCACCAGCCCCTGAAGACATCTGCCTGCCATCACCTCCGGACGACACGACTCAGCCGCTGCTAGCTTCCTGTGCTGATGTCCAAGCAGCAGTAAAGTCATTCAGCACGAGCTCCAGCGCGGGACTGGACGGACTCAGTCCGTCTCATCTCCAGGATCTAGCGGGCTACACATGCGGGGAGGCCGGCAGAAGGCTCATCACTGCTCTGACCCGCTTGGTGAATCTGGCCCTGAGCGGAGACATTCCCCCCACAGCCCGAGAGGTCTTTTTTACCGCTTCTCTGCTGGCCCTTGAGAAACCATGCGGTGGTATCAGACCTACAGCCGTCGGCTCTTCGTACCGTAGACTCGCCACCGAGGTAGCGATTCGGCCTCTATGTTCAGAACTCGGAGAGAAGCTGCGGCCCGTCCAGCTGGGCTTTGGAACAACCGGAGGATGCGAAGCTGTCGCACACGCCACCTGACATTACGTCAAGCTCCTCAATGAAGAGGAAGTCGTAGTGAAGATCGACACGCGCAATGCTTTTAACAGCATTCGCCGCGACCACTTCTTGGCCGTGGTGAGAGACAGCGCACCCTCCTTGTACCCGCTCCTGTGGCAAGCTTATTCGTCACCTACGCCTCTCTACCATGGCACTGCGAAGATTATGTCGGCCGCCGGCGTGCAGCAAGGCGATCCATCCGGTCCTGCAGTCTTCGCCCTGGCAACTCATAGCATCGTTAGCTCCGCTACATGCTCTATGAATACCTGGTTTTTAGACGATGGCACCCTGGGAGGGAACAGCGCCGACGTATATTCTGACCTGAAGAAACTCATCCCAGCGATGGCCAGAGTCGGACTGCAAGTAAACCCTTCCAAGTGCCAGATCATCGTGCCAACCATCGAAAACAAAGGAGAAGCCATCATCAGCCAACTCCACCACATCATTCCAGGTGCATCTGTCCTGTCAGAGGATGAACAGACTGTCCTGGGAGCGCCACTGACGGCAGCCGCTGCATAGCTCTCAGCACAGGACAAAATGGAGGACCTCGTGCGGATGGTCGGGCGGCTGAAGAGACTCGATGCTCATTCTGCGCTCTACCTGCTCCGCAACAGTCTATGGCTCCCCAAGCTGCAGTACTTGTTGCGGGCTGCGCCATTTTCCCAGCATCCTGCGCTGCTGAAACAGCTAGATGAGGTCATCAGAGCGGCGATGGAAGAGCTAGTGAATGTCAGATTCAGCGACATGAACTGGGAACAGGCCGTCCTACCTACCGGACTCGGAGGGCTAGGACTGAGGAGAACGGAGGAAGTCGCGCTCCACAGTGATGCAAATGGGGTTCACGAGTGGCCATAAATACCCAAAAGTCAAGTTTACCAAATTGAGTTAATTGCGATATGGCCGAGTAAACAAATGTTTGGGGCATCTGAAATCACATGGTTTTCATGTTTTTGTCAAAACCGGCCTCGTGTATAATCGTCAGAAGTCGTGACATTTTCTAGGCCGTAAAATGACGGTCAGACACTCGCAAGTTCAAACGCCGCTGGTTTGCGTTCATTTCGTACAAATTGAAAAAATTATGCATGGGAATAATCCCCAAAGCCTTCTGCTTCTAATGCCGGGTGACAAAAAGCCGTATCTCATTCGCTTTGGCGGCAATCTGACTATTTATCATCATGTTGCAACCGCAGTTTTTTACTAAGAAAAAAATGCTTTCGTTTCACCTACAGCACTTAACACAGTGTGTGCCCGTTAGTCCACCACACCATAGCCTTCCGTAATCAGTTCTGAGTCGCATCGTGAAACAATTAAGGTGCTAGCACAGGGCTGACCGGCGCTACAGAGTTTTTTGTCCGGGCGGTCGGGTGCCGCAGTGGGCGCGCATTGGGCGGGTGGGTGCCGCCGCGCGGCGTCCGGGCGGCGCGGCGGCGCGGCCGCCTGGGCCGCCCGCTACCCGACCGTGCCGGACGAAAACTTCTGTAGCGCCGGTCAGCCCTATGCTAGCGCCTTAATTCTTTCACTATGCGACTCAGAAATGATTAGGGAATGCTATGATTATATGGTGCACTAACGGGCACACACTGTGTGAAGTGCTGTAGGTGAATTGAAAGCAAATATTTTTGGTAAAAAACTGCGGTTGCAACATGACTAGAAATAGCTAGCACACCGCAAAACCAAAATAGATACGGCTTTTTATGACGTGGCATTAGAAGCAGCAGGTTTCGGGGATCATTTTCATGTATAATTTTTGCAGTTTGTATGACACGAACGCACGCTAGCGGCACTTGAATTTCAAGTACCTGACAGTCATTTTACGACATCGAAAATGTCTCGACTTCTGACAATCATACACGAGGCCGGTTTTGACAAAAACATTGAAATCATACTTTTTCAGACACCTCAAACATTTGCCTGACTGACCATATTACGATTTATTCGATTAAGTGAACTTGAATTTTGGGCCTTTTCGTATTTATGGCCACTCGTGAACCCCATTTGCATCACTGTGCGCTCCCGAGCTTCATCGCCTCGCTTCATCGCTGCCAGCAGCTGCTTCATACCATCCTGCCGGCAAGCTTCGCGGACGAAATCTTAAACGAGCTGAAGCAGGCAGAAGAGGAGTGGCTCGTAAAAGCTGGCGGCAAGATGGCTCCTGCAGACGACACACGCGAACGACAGAAATCTTGGGACGCCCCCATCGCCGAGCACCAAAGAGACCGCCTTCTGCTCGAAGCCAACCAATTCGATCGTGCTCGTATCCTCGGCGCAGCGACGTCTTAAAGCGGAGCATGGCTCAGAGCTCTCCCGTCTTCTAGTATGGGCACCCACCTGGACAACGAGACAGTGAGAATCGCAGTCGCTCTGTGTCGGCGCCGACGTTTGCAGCGGCATCCACGCCTGCAGGTGCGGCTCGCCGGCCGACGTCAAGGGGCACCACGCTCTTACCTGTCGGTTCAGTGCTGGAAGATTGCCGCGCCACACAGCACTGCACGACATAGTCAGACGTGCCCTGCTGACCGCAGGCATAACAGCTCAGCTCGAGCCGTACGGTGTCGACCGGGGCGACGGAAAGAGGCCAGACGGCATGACCATCTACCCATTCTCACATGGCCGTTGCCTAGTTTGGGATGCGACATGTGCGAACACATTCGCAGACTCAAGACTGGGAGGTGCCGCGCTGAAGTCTGGGGCGGCGGCCAAGAAAGCAGAAGACGAGAAGCGCCGAAAGTACGCCCGGCTCACCAAGCGTTTCAGGTTCGAGCCAGTTGCATTTGAAACAGACGGCGACTGTGGTCCTACGACCAAAGCCTTCCTCCAGGAACTTGGTGCTAAAATGGCGGCGGTCAGCGGCGACAAGCGAGAGATGGAGTGGCTTTGGCAGCGACTCTCCATCGCCGTTGTGAGAGGTAACGCCGCTTCAGTTCTCTTGGGGTGTGCCACTGACCCGTCCCAACAACACCTCAGCGCCGAGCGCCCCGACAGGGAGAATGCTGAACAACAGCTGGCGACGGCGGCCGGCTCGAGGCGGCCTGGCTGCTCGGGTGGTTCCCGGTTAGTGGCAAGCCAGCAGATGTGGTCGCCGCCGTCGCCGAAGAAGTTGGAGGAGAGCAAGGCGTTGCAGCTGTATGGCGGCAAGGCGCACACGGCTCGCGAGCTACAGCTGACCCCAGCCATCAGACCCGCAGGCAAACACGGCAAAGATCCGCTCTACACCGGACTTCCCAATTACGGTAACTCATGTTACCAGAACGCCACCCTGCAGTCACTGCTAGGACTGTGTCCGTTCTTGAACTACATGATAGCGTTGCAGTCGGGCCCGGAGAGTGACCAGTGTCGCACGCTGCACGCCGTCGCCAAGCTGATGGTGCTCCGCCAGAAGGCCCTCAGCAATGGCGTCTCCAGTCACCTCAGCGACCTGCGTCCGGTGCTTGGCGACATCGACTCAGCGTTTCGCGGTACTGAGAGGCAGGACGCCAACGAGTTCCTGCTGAGCCTGCTAGACACGATAAAGGACGAGATCGACACCCACCAGCTGTCTGCAAATCCCGTCCGAGACAATTTTCAGTACCAAACCATGACGAACTTCATGTGCACCAGGTGTCACAAAACGGTGCCGAAGCTGCAAGAAAGCATCACCTGGTTCGTGAAGATGCCGCATCGCCAGGGTAGCGAGGTGCCAACGCTGCAGGATGCGCTTCGATCGAGCATGCAGCCAGAACAGCGGGAGTTGCTCTGCCAGCACTGCGGCCATGACGAGTGCCGAGTCACCACCAAAGTCAGTCAGCTGCCCAGGACGCTGATCCTGCAGCTGAACCGATTCTTCTTCCAAGGCGATGAGTCCAAGAAGATCCAGGCCAACGTAAACATCCCAAAGCTCCTGTCGCTCAACGAGTACGTGGCAGACGATGTCAAACGGCCGCCAGAATGGAGATGCAAGAAGTCACCAATACGCAACGTGTCAGACTTCCATAAGCAGACCAGGCTGGAGCGACTGTCTGTTCCCTTGTTGCCGCCTCCTGCGCTGGCGCCGCTCTCAACCGCCCCAGCCCCGGCCTCTGCCGCCGCCTTCCCGGCGGCGGCGGCCATCCCCGCCCGGACGCCGCCGCCAGCGCGGGCGCCCACGCCGCGGGCAGTGGCCAAAGCGCCCCAGCAACTGCCGGCCCCGCTGTTACCGTCGGCCGCCAGCGAACTGGTGGCCGCCGAACATGCGCACCTGTCCGAGTTCCTTGCGGAGGACGACCAGTCGCGGCGCCCGTCGGACCTGGCCGGCGACAACACCTACCGGCTGGTGGGCGTGGTTAGCCACCGTGGTGGCGCCACGGATTCGGGCCACTACGTCGCTGACGTGTACAGCGTAGGCCGCGGCCGCTGGTTCCATTATGATGATCGCAGTGTCAGCTATATGCAGGAGTCGGACGTGATCGGAGACGGCTGCCAGGCTGCCAGAAACGGCTACATCTTTTTCTATCTTCATGTCGGTCTGTGCAGCCAGGTGTCAGCAGCCACTGCACTGGGTCATGTGCGGCGCAGCTCCTCCCTGAACCCGGCACCGGCCGAGCCGTGGAAGGGA